GTTTATGTGTGATAGAAGATGCAACACTGAAGGAATAGATTATTTTTAGGTGTGATAGAAGATGCAACAATGAAGGAATGTACAAGAAGATTGGATGAGTATTTCAGAGATCAGGGATGGATATAGAAAAATAAATTTCCATATGTAGTTTTAATAGGTTAGTAGTAGCTGCTTTATAGTACTGTTTATGTGGGCCAAATGACATTTTGGGAATTAAGTAAACCCTAATAATTCCTTGGTTTTTTTTCTCATCCATAAATCCCTGTACATCATCCAAACTTGAAATATGTTAGTAACTACACATATCATGGTTCAGTTACATTTACTTTTAAAATTCCTAAATTTTGAAATCATGTTTTCAAAGCTTGCAAAAAGCATATAAATATTCTTTGACAAATAGTCAACTCAGCATATAAAATAAATACAGTTCATTAATAACTACTTAGTCAAGCAAGAAGTTTAAACATGTAAATTAGGAAATGGTATCTCTCAATGTAATTGAAAGTTCATATTAACATTACAAACACTTAAAATAACATTGAGTTTTATTACAAAAACAGATATATGTAATTGGTTGGGAGGCTACATTTAGCTTGGATTAGATTTTTGCTCTTTTTCTTTTGAATGGAGGCCTTTAAAGGACAAATTGCATTCTGTCACTTTTTTATCTTTTTACATTTTATATAATGTATAAACAGTAACTTTTATAAATCTACTTTTAAGCTAACAGTATTTCTTACAAATAAACACATGGATGAATGACCATTTTTACTGGTTGATTCTGGAGCTTACAATTGTGTGATATAAAAGTATACAAAAAACAAACAGACAAGTTTACAGAGGGTTACTCAGCCCACTTAGGTCACCCCTCCACCAAAAATATAAAAAACTATACTACCTATTTAAAACTAACTTACCTTAATAGACTTTCAGGTCCATATACTATACTTTTCCAACACAGTTTTTTAAGAATTCAAACTAATATCCCATCTTCAGTTAATTCATTCCACAAATTTATATCTGTCCAAAGCCTAAATAAAAACCTTCCCCATGTCAACGTCTGGGCTACCAAATCTTAAATCATCTCCTCCTAATTATTAAGGTTAGTATTTTATTCTTTTTTGTTCTTCCATTCAGAAAAGCACTAGTAGGATGATAACTGGATAGAAGAATTATCTTTCGGGACTAGGATACTAGGTCCTGTACAGAGGGGTTAGCACATACAAGTTTATTGGGTTATCCAATATGTAATCCTTTGATTTCTTTGTACTAAATTCTTAAAAATAAACTATGAAAGGAGAACACAAAGACTTGGAATACAGACTAGACTCCACTTAAGACTGTTTTAATTTTCTTACAGGATGATACAGCTTATGGAATAAGATGTTATCAACACCACTTTGACTTCATTCATGTTCTAGCAGTCAGGCATAACATAGTATATAAACAAAGAACCTAAGAAAGAATTATAATCATCCTTCTTTGTCAGTGGATTAATAGTTACCCTCTTTACCTCCTGTAAAGTGCTGGAATTCACTACTGTCAATAGCAACTAGTTCCGTAAATCAATCATCAAATGAGACAACAGCTTTTGCTCTTGAAGAAATTACAGCAGAAAGTTTCTTCTTTTGATGTCTAATGTTTTTTGCATTCTTTTTGGAAAATTCTGTTTTGCTCTATTTTTCATGATAATTGTCTTTCAGTGAATATTCCATCATGATTCACGATCACATCCACTTGTTTCACATGAAACATTTTTTTCACTTTGCAGATGCAAACAGTAAGAAGCATAAGGTCATCTTTTGATGTTTCATTATTGTTCTAGATAATTTTATGTTTCAAACAGGTTGTAACATAATAGAATTTTGGCCTGAAATTGGAAAATAATTGTCAAAGAATGTTGAATAACTTCCCATGTAAACATCTTACTGACATTTAGAGGCATTCTTGTTTGAAAGGTTTCCATCCAGTTATTTTTGTTGTTTGATCCAATTCATGAATGTTTAAGAATTGTTAATGTCACCTTATGAGGCTGACAAAGACTACAGGATTAATTAAAACCATATTTTTCTGTGTGTTAAGTTTTGATAATTGATTTGTGCATTGAAAGGCAAACGGATTATTAAATCAGTCCTACATTTCATGAGAAAATATGTGAAATAATTCAGACGAGCTGACATATTAATATGACAGTATTGGCTCATATGTTTAGATTCAGATAGGAAGTAAATCCTTGTGCATAGTCATGTACTTTTTTGTGCTGTTAAGTTCTAAACTTCTGTGTTCTCCATTTGCCACATATATATACAGTCAAGCAAGCATATTTTGACTACAATCAATTTTCATGTATATTTGTTGGAATAAAACAAGAAACAACTTCAAGAAATGGCTAGGAAAGATACCAACCAGTTAGGCCTTTAATCAAACCATAACTTGTTATCCAAGTGACTATGACAACCCCTACTAATATTTTATCTTTACAGAAGCCATCATCCACAGTTATTGTTCTACCATAGTTTTAGTTATAATGGTTGGAGATGGCTTGAATGGGTAATGAAGAAAAACTTTGATATAAGTTCAACATAACAGCAAATGTACAACGTTTTGACAAGATTTTGTCATCATCAGGGTAATGAAGAAAAACTTTGATATAAGTTCAACATAACAGCAAATGTACAACGTTTTGACAAGATTTTGTCATCATCAGGGTAATGAAGAAAAACTTTGATATAAATTCAACATAACAGCAAATGTACAACGTTTTGACAAGGTTTTGTCATCATCAGGTACCTGATGATGACAAAACCTTGTTGAAATGTCGTACATTTGCCGTTATGTTAAACTTTTATTAGTTTTTCTTCATTACCCTGATGATGACAAAATCTTGTTGAAATGTCGTACATTTGCCGTTATGTTAAACTTTTATTAGTTTTTCTTCATTACCCTGATGATGACAAAATCTTGTTGAAATGTCGTACATTT